AAGTGGAAAACGGGGTCCCTGACAGTGAGCATGAGTGTTGTCGCCTTCAGAACAGCTGGTTGAGCTGCTGCTGTGGAAATGGGAGAAGTTTTACTCAGTGTGCAATGCAGTCAGGTGAGACACTCGTAGCCTCACTCTGTGATACATTAAAAATCTTTTCCTCCTTATGTTTTGTTTCTCAGCCTTTAGGTTTTGATTCCATGAGAGTGTATCTTCAAAAAATGGGCTGATGTGGCCTTGTTCTCACTGGTCTTCATCTGGGACAGTGAAAGCCACCAAGGCTGCCCAAGCAATAGTGCTGTGAGCAGAGGGAAGATGCGGGATCTTGGCCCAGTGAAGGCTCAGAGCCTCTTCCTTACAGGCACTGTAGTCAAGGAGACTTAATTGCTTCAGACAGCTCTGAATGGTGACTGTTAGGGAAGTGTCTGAGAAAAGTATCTGAAGAGTTAGGATAATGGAATTTGAATATCAGAAGAATTTTAATTCTTAAGGAGACAAGTGTTGTTTCTGGCATTATGGGCTATAGGCACCAATCCAAGCATGCTGAAGTCAATAAAAAGCTTCTGTTTGGCTCCACTGAGTTTTGAATCGAGTCCACAGAATGTTTGATAAACTGAAAATGTTACAGCAAGCTTCTGGTGTTAGCCATGCCCTAGTGACAGTGGGTTCTGGGGGGATCAGATAAGCATATTTTGTAAAGGAGATTTGCTACAAAGAAGAGACTCTCATTCTCATTTCATTTTCTTTGTTATTTGTTACTATTTTCATTTGAGAAACTTTTTTTTTTTTCCAACTACAATTGTTTTGTTGTTTTGTTTTGTTTTTTACAATTGTGTATTTTCTGGTAAGATTTAAACTATGGTGCAGCTTATTACCGTGTAGAATAAAAAGCAGTCAGTGCCTGCTGGGTCAATGCCTTGGTACTGAGGACATGCATGGAGTACTTGGAAGTGCTGAGATGTAGTTGGTTTTATTTTCATTGAGTTATTTTATTAGGACACGATGTGGCAATGACGTGGAAACACTTAGTAGATGAAGTAGTGTAGAACAGCTCTTGATTGGTTTTTTGCTTAAGATCTGCACCTGATGTATGGCCTGGCACCTGCTCATACATGCAGCTATGCGTATGGCTCTGTTTGGCAGGTCCTATAGATCAAACTTGGCAATACCTCTTGGTAGTGATGTGTAAGTGCAAAACTAAGTATTGCTGTCCCCTAAGCAGATAGAGAAGTTAAGGCAGAGGAATTGGACTCACCTTGGAAGGGGCACATCCCGGGGCTGTTTCTCCAAGCAGTGCACACCCATCTTGTTGCTTTGCTTGCATTCTGCAGGTAGGGCTGTCCGATTGGTGGTGTGAAGGAATAGTGGGGCTCCCATGGCGAGGTGCAGCCCCAGCTGTGCTCCAGGGCTCCTGGGGCCCCCTGGGCAGTTTTGCCCATGCTACTGTGACAGCGCAGCCCCTGAGCTGGCTGCACAGTTCTTCCTGACCGTGAGTGGTCTGAGAGAGAGGCAACCCAAGTTGCATGAGACCACTTGCATGGCCCACCAGCACATGTGAAGCTGACTTGATGCCAAGTGCTCTCTAACCCGCCAGGGCAGAAAGAACACAACAAAATAAAGGAAAAAAAAAAAAAAAAAAAAAAAACCTTTAAACAAAGAGCAGAGGGAAGCATTATTTTTTCTCAGCTTCATTGTGTTAAGGTCAACAGTGCTGCTGTCAAGAACAGCATTGCTTCTGTACTTAGCGTGAGGGGTTTTGTGGATGAGATTTGGATGCATCCGTGCGAAGTGCTGGCATTAATGACTGAGTCAGTGCCCACTCCGCTGCAGAAGCAGCCTGGGCCATGCGGAGCTCCAGTCGTTTGCTGATCCCCATTTAGTGCTGCTAGCAAAACCACCAGGGATGGATCCCAGTCAAAAGTAAACGCAGCCTGGCAAGGAGAGCAGGTCCCAAGGATAAAAAAGCAACTGAAAAAGAAAATCAATGTACTCGCAGCCTTGGGCTGTGAAGCTGCCTACTAAGCTCATGCAATTTAACTCCCTTCTTCCTCTGTTACAGCACTCTTAATTTTGGGGTTCTTTGATCCCGCTATTCATAGCTGTGAAGCGAGCAGAATTTGATCAAGCTCTGGCAGGGGCCAGTTGATTTTAACACCAGCTTCCGAAAAGGGGCTGTCAATCAAGGATGAGCCTTAATAGCTTCAGCTTGCAGCTCCTTTAGGCTTGCATTGCAGCTGAGTGCTGCTTGGTCAACTGTGGAGGAGCCGGGCACCTACAAAAGGCTGCAGGGGCTCCTCGGACACAGAGTCCCTCAGGGTCCCTGCCTGATCTCTGCAAAGGGGCTGCATCCAACTGCTCATCTGCTGCCATGTCCCAGATGCAACGGGAGAGCTCTCCTCTTTGAGCAAGGAGTGCCTTTTGCATCCCAGGAGGCCTGCTGAGCTTTTGTGAGCCAGCAGGCTACAGAGCTTTGGGTCCACTCGGATTAAACCTTTCCTTATTGCAGCTTATTGTAGCTCGAATGGAAACAGTGAGGACAAGGGTTACTTTCCGTACCTAATTTCCAAGTTATTTTAGCTGGGGATGTTAGATAAAATAGTCAGTGACTGGCAGGATGATAGAATATGGTTTAATTTCAGATTTACTATCTGCCAACACATGCCATTCAATCAGATAAACACAGGATTTTGGCTGTCATCACAATATCTTATGCATACTTAAAAATAGAGCGCTTTTTCTCACACCAAGAAGAAATTGAACAGGTTTATACACAGGATGTGTATAGTCAGGATGCTAGAAAATGTGAAATAGCGTGCCATTTCTGGAGAGATTCCCTATCTTTAAATTAAGGAATTATATTAGAAGTAGCAGAAATTCTCCTGATTGCAAAAGTTTTATCATTGTCAACTGCGCAGAATAAATACAAGTGAAGGGAACACCTTGAGAAGCTGAAATATAGAAAATGAGGGAAATGTCTGTAGTGTTTACAGCAGAGGATGCGAGATCGTACAGAGGGCCAGACGGCTCAGAACTTCTCTGTGTGGGAGTATGATTCCTCCTCTGGCTTTTAAGTTCCCATCCTTGCTGCTTGGTCTGGTGCACATATTGCACCTATCGCTGCAATGCTCGAGTATCTGCTCTGCTTGGGAGGTGGGGATAGAAGATGGCAATCGAGGACTGCCCCAGCACGATCCTAAATCAGGTTGTAGAAGGCAGGCAATTTAAGCTTTCTCTATTGGAAGCTTCCATCCTGAAAGCGCAACTTTAGTAAAGTGGAAACAATTATGTAAAATATGGCTGTAAAAACACTTACCACTGATGCTTTATATTATAAACATGTGGGTACACAAATGAATGCGCCCTTTTGGCCCATACCCTTCACCAATATTTGTTTGTGTTGTTATTATTCTATTCATTTACTTTATCTGTTGTGAGGAGCAGCTGATGACACAGTCCAGCATTTAGTGAAGCTCTAGTCTGGACTGTTTACCAGAGCTGTACAAGGCGGTTTGTTTCTCTGAATGTCATACAAACACATTTTCCTGCTCACAAGTCTGCAGCAAGCTCCCAAGCTCTCTCTTACTGCTGCTTCTCTCCTGCTCCCCGGCCTCTTTGTTCCCTAGGGCCCACATAACCCACACCTTCGTTCTCTTATCTCCTGTCTGTTTTGCACTTTCAGCTTTTGAAGTTGCCTTTGGGAGATGTCCTTGTTACCAACCACCAGGACTTTCCAGAATAACTGATTATTGCCTGCTCTTGTTCCGTTCTTTATTCTACTAGGCTGCTCCAAAATGAGCTCTAAAATGATGGTTAGAGCTGCTCAAGTATAATGGTATCTTTGAAGCCAAGGCCTGTACTTGCTTCGAAGAGCAGCTCTAGCCAAAGGGCAGCTTTTTCTAGTGAAGTGAATGGAAAGAAGGTACTTTTTTGTGAGCGTCTGTCCTGCAGGCTTCTCTGCTGGAGGGAGGCTGCTGCCTTTGTAGCATGTAGCTCACAAGCAGCTCTGCCACAGCACGTCAGCTTATTGCCCATGGAATCATGAGGGCAGCAAAATGGCAGGCAAGGAGCTGAATTCCCTACTGGTCAGACTTCATCCTTTTCTGATGATGCTCTCGTGGCACTTCAGAGAAAAACCCAATTACTGGATGGGTGGGTCCTGCAGCTCAGCCTTGCATGGATCTTCTCTTCTTCCACCGCTCCTTCCAGGAGCTGTGCCAGGCTAGGCAAACAGATAAAGCAAAGAAATAGCCCAGCTGGAGTGAGTCCGCTGTGGGTGTCTTTCATCTTAAAGGCTTTGGAATTTTGTTTGGTTTTTATTGTTTGCCTTTTTTTTTGTCACTTCTAGAAAAGCCTTTCACGCAGAAGGCCATCGTAATTTATTTGGAACCATTAGTGGGTGGGTGTTGCGTGCATTGTGGGCTGTGGTTTCATTGATACGCTCAGCCTCACGAAGAAGACGACGTGTTAAACATTTTATTTACCCCGTGTGCTACCTGTCATCTAATCAGCTTTTGTTTTTGCTGCATTTTGCTTGTATTATAGCAAGAGTAAGTGATTTCATGTAAATTAAAACCACATGAAACCTTTTAAAGCTGTTTTAAAGTACTAAATGGTTTTGCAAATAGGTTTGTCCAACAAAGATTGGAAAAAGAGCTCTTTGCTTACCCGTTTACTCTTTTTTATGCTTATTAGAAACCCCCCCGTGTGACACTTTCATCAAACATTGCATCCTGGTACTCATCTAGAATGCCAAAAGTAATTTATACTATGCTCAAGAGTGGTTTGCATAAACAGGAGGCAGTTAACAAAGAATACAGTTTTGAACTGCAATTGCAAATGTTATTTTATAAATTACAACACAGATGCACAATGAAATCAAAACACGTGTCCCTGTGATGTTTCCTTGCTTGCCTGAAGCGTAAAGCAGTGTTGGTATTAACTATTATTGCTGATGTTTATTGTTGCAATCATTTCACTGTGAATAATTTTGTTTCTTACAGGTGGATCGTATCATCTTCTGCGTCTTTTTGGAGGTTGACTACAAAATTTTCAAGAAGAAAATGGGCGAGTTTTTCCCTATAGGTAGGTATGGGAATTTACTGCCATCTGACTCCAAAAAAACGATGCGGGAAAAGGCAACGGTCGGCATCCTTTCTGCTTTCACTGCCTGAGCCAAGTATTAAAATGTGAACTTTCTTTAGAGATCAGTTGCACGAAGAGGCTGTGATGCTGGAGAAATACAAGACGTTTAAAATCTGTGAAGCGGTAAAACTGTTTTGTGATGCTGCTGCTGCAAAATCAAGGCCTGCTTTTCCATGCTCAGTACTGTTAGTTTCTTCAATCCTTACTGTAATCCGTATCTTCTCCTTAAGGCTGGTGTGTGGCACTGCTTCTCTTGAGCAGCAGGCAGATGATTTGCACTCATGTATATAGCTCCTACCGTATATGGCTTTTCCATGCACACTGTGAATGCTTTACTCTTTCACTAATAGTGCTGGTAGGGTTTCTGTGCATCTTAAAAGATACCACAGGGGTTAGAGCCCAACTGTGTCTGAATGGGAACTTTAAACCTGAGCTGTCCCTGTGCGAGAATGAATTGGAGAAAGATGGCTCTCACCGGAGCACTTGGGAAATGTTAGCCATTCATCTTAGGCTTCACACATGAGGTTACTTTCTAGAATGCAAGAAAACCTGGTAGATAGTAAATTTGTTCACACCCCTCCTTATATAACTGTGATTTATTTTTATCATACATCATTAGCAATCCGTGTTAGAGTAGTGGGGTTTTTTTAATCAACCCTAACCCTCTCCCATTTTATTCTGTTTTCTCTGACATCAGTTCTGCTATATGTGATAAGATCCAGATTGTAGTCTTTTTTATCACCCATTTCTGAAATGGCAGTCACTTAAATGCTCCCCAAACTGCCTGGTAGAATGGGCCTGTGAGTAATGGGAAGCAGAGCTTGGGTGTCTTGTGAGATTCTCAATTAATTTTACAGGGCCATGTTGTCATAGTAGCCTCAGTGATTTTTTTGACTTTTACTGGTAGTATGGATATTGTGATGTTTCGGCCTTATCTCACTAGAACTAACTACTTTGTAATCTCCAGTTTGCAGTGATCTCAAACCTAAAGACATACTGAATAATTCAGGTAGCATAGAATGGTGTCCGTATAGTAATATTTTGGGCTGGAGTGCAGCGAACATTCATTCAGACTGCATTCACATCTAATCTGGATAGTGTATGATTTTTATCTTTTTTCTGGTCAATGTACACATTGGACAGAACAGCAGTGCCCTGTCTTTTGTTGCTGGCTCTGTCTCTGCCTTTCGGATTAAGGGAGAGTAAGCTACCGTGGCAGTTTGTCAACAAAGTAGAGTATTAATACTCACCTTCAGCACTGAAGTCTTTGAAATTCCAGATGAAAGCCTGCTGTTATTACTACAAATGTAAAGCCCACTTGGGTTTGAAAGCCCCGGAGACAATGAGATGCTTCAGGTGCTGAAGCGTGACAAAACTAAAGGGGGGAAGAGGGTTAAAAGGAAGATTCACTTCTTTTTTTTGAGTTGTCAAAATATGGCATTGTTGAAGTCTTGGACAAAGAGGGTCTGTTTGGTTAGATGTCACAGTGTGTAAAGACTTCTTATTGCCTTATGCTACATTGTGCAGGTGATTCATTGTGCCGTAGTTCTGTAATTTTAAAAGCATGTCTATTCTCATGCATGTAAAGCTTTAACTTTTTGTTGTTGTTGTTGTTTTTTAATCAAACTAAAACAGGGAATTTGTATATGACCATAGTAAGGCAGTGGTGATGGGAACCCTCTAATGTGCAGTAACATCCAGCAGTTGGCAGGTGTGTGACTGTGAAAAAGGACCGCATGATGTGATGCTCATGCAGATAGCTTTCTGGATAAAGATGCTTTACTTCTCAGCAGCCGTAATTTGGTGTGGGTTTCTAAAAAAAATCTTAGGACCTATTCTCATAGGCTTCCAGCTGTAATTTTCTCACCGTTAATGATTCTGAATACTAGTTTTGATATGCTTTAATAGTGTAGGCTTCCGGAAGGACTTGAGCACCTACTGGTTGTTAAGCTTGCAGCTTTAAAAGGCACCAAGCTGGCTTCCAAGATTTTTTCCCCGAATCAGTGAAGGATTTCCTGTGTTGAGGTCAGTAGTCAGCAATTTGGGAGATCTGATTTTAATCTCTTGTAACACCACGGATGTGTGGTGTGCTCTTACAGGAGTCACTTGGATGTGCAGCTTATGAGGAGAGCGGCAGAAAAGATGTGTACAAGCGAAATGACTTTGATAGCATCCCTGGAGAAAAGATCAGTATCTGGGTCTCTGTCTCAGAGGAGTGCCCTAATGATTGATGTTCAGCATCAGGCTTCCTTTGCCCTGCTGAAGTGGCACTTTTCTGCTGGGTACCATCACAACAGCGGTTAGGTTGAAGTTGGCCCCATCCTAAATTGTCTGTAGCTGAATGATGAGGATATTAGCTGTAGGTCTTAATGGTGATCAGCAAAGGATTATCAGGTGTACTGTTTCTTCCTTTTTTCTTTTCTCTTGGTGAGGTGGTATCTGCGTTTAAGTCTAATGTGACCTCCAACAAGTTCTCTGCAGACTCCCCTCCTCTAGAGGATTATTCCATCTTTCTTCAACACCAGCTTCTTCCACAAGGGATTCGGTGTGGTTCTTTGTCAAGGAATTGGCAACTGTCCGTACCTTTGGCAATGAAATCCTGATATTTAGACTCTGGAAGGAACTGCCAAAACTGCTATGGCATTTTTTGTTTGTTTGTTTTTAAGTGATTCTATTAGTGTAGTAAAACAGAAGTCTCTGAGGAAAGATTTGCCCTAAATTTAAATTGATAGCAAGCTATCTGAGCATTCACAGGAAGGAATAATGCTGAGATATTACTTGAGGCTTAGAGAAAAAAACACTGAGACGTTTTTAAATGTGCATCTCGCATTCAGAAACATTACAAAATATATCTACATTAATAGATGTGGACAAAAATGCTTAGAAAGAAGAATATATTCATGGAGTTATATACATAAATAGTTATTACTTTAAACCTAGTGCATTAATAAATCCAAAAAGACATCCAAGTACTTAAGCTAGTCAAGTGATAATGAAATGAAGCTAGAGTTACACCTCAGTGCATTAGAGTAAGTGGAATATAGATACAGGGAAATTGTTCCATTAGTTGAACATATCATTAGACTTATTTTGTGAGAAGGATGCCAAAGAAATTAGTTGAGTAATAGTACTGATATTAAGACAACTGCCAAGAGCTTTGTCATTTGCAAACTTTAAATATATAGGGGAAGAAGCAGACTTCTAAGTAATTTCATATCTTAAAAGTGTAACATAGCTGTTCAGTAACGGACCAGTTGTCACATCCTCAGCATTTCAGATCCAATCTTAGTAAGCAGTAGCCTGTACAGAGCCTGAGTCAAAGCCAATATGCTCTGAGGGTAATGCCATATAAGCTTTAACTCAGATGCAGGATCTCATCCCTATGATGGCCCAGGAAAGTATTAGTTTAGAGGGAAAAGCGTCCTGATTCACACGGAATTTAGTGTAGAGTCTCTGAGGTTTTGCTGAGAAGTTCATGAATGTCCTGGTAGGAAAAGAGCAAAGATGGAAGACTTTTTGTTGGACATCAAATCTTAAAATCAATTGCTGTTTTAGCACATGAGGTGAGACAAATGGTGGTTTGTTTTTCTGTGGCTCAGTTGTGTTCTCTCTCTTGGTGGAATGGAATAGCCCAGACATTCTCTCTTCAGTTGCATAGTGACATTCTCTCTGGTTAATCTGAGATGATGTCTCGCTGCATATCCTTCAGGCAAATAAAATGCCCTTGCCTGTAATCCTGGCTCAGATATGTACTTCTTACCTCACTGGATTCATTGCTACTGGTATTATGTGTGAGCTTTCCAGGAAAGCTGCTGATACTTGTATCATTTTTTCTCTTGGAATTCATTGTCTCTTCTAACACAATTCTGCACGGAGCCTGGAATCTAGGCATTACTTTTATTGCTAAATATATATTTGTAAAACCTACCAGGAAATGGTACGAAAACGTTCCCCCTGAGAAGCTAGACTTGCTAACTTTTACCTTGCAGTTATACGTGCTCCTTGGTTGCTATTCATGGAGTAAAATTAAGCATATTTGTACACGGTTGCCAGCTGGAGGCAGAGACACCTTATTTTTCTCCTGTGTCCTGTATATAGCTAGCTATTCAGTATGTCAGACAGATAATCTTGTGGAAACCGTTGGCAAATGCTTATTTTTCGTGGTGACTATTGTATATTATGAAAGGTTTGTCTTAAATTGCAATGTTTAAAGTACTTCTGAATCTACCACCTGTTATCAGTGGATTGGAAAGGGAAATCATTTTTTCCGAAAATGTTCTTTAGACAAAAATAATGTCATAAAAGGTACATACTATGAAGCTGCCCTGTTCCAGGTGATATTACTCTTACTAGTTTAAACACAGTAACAGAATTACTTCACTAAAGCATTGCGAAAATTGCTAGAGAGGAGAGATTTGCACTTTTATTAGACCAATTGATAGGTGGAAGATGCAAGCTTTTAGACCCTGTGTCCTTTCAGAGCTAATTGAAAGGATGCCGAGCCCAACCGCTTGTTCTTTTTTTTTTTTTTGTGAGCCATATCAGTTGGTGCTGAGACAGAGAGAGAGAAAAATTGCTTCTTGAAAAGCTTTCTCTCCCTTCTATTCCAGGTTATGACATTTAGTGCATTTTCTGCTTTTACCCTGCATGCCAAAATGCTATCCACCCTGTCCAAAGCAATGTGGATGAGAACTCCTGTTCTCTATTAATCCTTCTATTACTTTAGGAGGATGCAATGTGCAAATAGGAAGTTGTGCATAAATGTGCAAATATCTCATAATTGCAGAGGAAATTCGTTGTTAAGAGATCTACCAGGCTTGGAATCAAATTGGAAACTGTCTAAATGCCTGAATGAAGGGCTTTGTATTAAAAAGGCAGATCCCTGCACTAATACGTGACTGAACTGTTAAGCAGAGTTTGTAATTGCTGTGCTGGTGTTG